CCAAAGCTATAGCTCAGAGCTGGTATGACCCAGGTGTTAATGGCCTTAATTTTGTGCTTCCCAGATAACTGAGTCCTGAGTACTTGTCGCAATCTCTTTCTGAACACAGTCAGAAGCTGTTGTTGCACGTCCCTTCGGACAATTTTAAGGTTTTGTTGCATGCCTAAATATTTATATAAATGGTGTGCTTCTAGCTCTTTAATGTGATCTTCTTCATTTATCAGGATGTTCTGGGTATTAACCTTTCTTCCCTTTTTTACATGAAGCACCGCGCATTTATCAAGTCCGAATGACATACCTATATCACTGGTAAAGGATGATACTGTTTCAACCATGTTCTGTGATTGCTGTTCATTTTTCGCATACAGTTTGAGGTCATCCATATACCAACTATGACTGTTATTATTATTATTTCATTTGTCAACAATTTTACAAAAGGTTTTTTGTTTACTTGAGAGGGGAAGAATCAACTCCAACCATCTCAGGTATGTTCTATTTTAATTTTTATTGGATGTTCAGAAAGCTTCTCACAATTCTGGCAGTATTCAACAGCACCACTTTCTGAGCTTCATTTATTACATGAAGTTGGGAGACCCAGCTTGGAGCTCCCATTATTATTATTATTTATTCTTTATCACTTTAAAAAAAGGTATTTTCCTGGAGTGGGGAAGAATTAACTTCACGTTAATTTTTGTACTTTTATTGAATATTTAGGAAGCTCCTTACGATCCTCGCAGTGTTCTGCAGCACAGCTTTCTGGGCTTCATTTATCGTAGCTGTTGAGAGGCCCAACTTCTCGGTAGCTTCTACAATGGATTTTGAAATAAGCCCATTGCTAGAGATCACTAAAGCCCTTACTGCCACTTTGTTCAGTCTGTACAGATCTTTTAACTCGGCTGCAAGAGTTTGATAATTTCGATTTTTTTTCGGCGCAGACTGAGTTGGTGTTCCCATCATTAGGTACAGCGATATCTATTATCTCCGCTGTATTCATAATACTGTCGATCAACACGATATCAGGTCTGTTATGAAGCACATTATGGTCTGTTATAAAAGATTGATTCCAATACAATTTCATTCCTTCCTTCTGGATAAGTTCTTTAGGATTGTACTTAAAATAAGGTATTGAATCATTCACTAACTTTCTTTTTAGACCAACTTCCTGATGATAAATTTTTGCAACATCGTCATGTTTCTTGAGGTATTTTGTACCAGCCAGCGCTCCGCACCCTCCAGTTATGTGCTAAATAGACTCGAACGTGCTGGAAAAGAGCCTAAACTTGTCTGATACTGTCTGTTGCTTCTAGACATGTTGCAAGTAAGACCTTATTGCTATGAACTGATCTTGGATTGCTATCAGAAAGCCCTCTGTCTTTTTTCTGCCCTTTGACAGATTTCCTTTAACCAACCAACTAGTAGAGAATGTTTTATCTATTTCAGTTTGTTGGAGTTGGGTCTTCCTTGCAGGGTTTTTGATTTCCATTCTTTTAGTCGGCCATTGTCCGTGAAAATTATGGATGCAGCAGTTTCTGGAGTGGCTAATTGTAATGCTGTGTGGCCATGGTGGAGATTGCACATCATCCTATGAAAAAATACTTCATTTTGTTTGAAGTACTCTCTGAGGGTCATTTCTTGTTGCCTCTTCAATTAAATGAGACCTCTCCCACCTTCCTTTCTTGGTAAATAAAGTCTTGCCATAGATGCAGTCGGGTGATGCATTCTGTATTTAGTCATCCTTGTCCGTATAAATCTATCCAATTCTTGTAGTGAAGTTGTAGACCATCTTAAAATTCCAAAACTGTAAGAAATGGCTGGTATAACCCACGTATTCACAGCTTTTATTTTTGAACCTGAGGATAGGCATGTAAGAATAATTTTCAGTCTCTTTTTCAACGACTCTATCAGTCTGTTTTTTGTGTCTTTACTCGCTATTTTAAACGCTGCTCTATCCCAAGATATTTATATAGCTCTTCCTTTTTTACGTGTTTAATATGCAATGCTTCATTAAATATGTTCTGGGATTTACTTGGTTTTCCTTTAATCACAAGAAGAACAGCACATTTCTCAATTCCGAGTGATATGTGTATTGAGTCACTAAATTGAGTTACAGTATTTAGCATTGATTGCAACTGAGATTTGTTCTTTGCATAAAGTTTTAAATCGTCCTTATAAAAACTATGGCTGATCACTGCTCTCAATTCATTTAGTTTTATTTTGTATCCGTTCCTCTCTCGATTTAATAAAATTGATAGTGGAGCCATTGCAAGAGAAAACCAAAGGGGCTTGAGGAAGTCTCCCTGATATATACCTCTCGAAATTTGAATGTACTCCCGAGGGTCTGTTGATTGCTCATGTCCTATCCTCAATCTAGTTTTGCAGCAGTTCATCAATTTCTTCAGGAGTTCATTTAAACATGGATGAACGTTATACAATTCTAAGACTTTTAAAAGCCAACTGTGAGGGACCGAGTCAAATGCCTTTCTGTAATCAATCCATGCTATTGACAAATTTCTTTTATTCGTGGTCGTTTGGCCTGTAACAAACGAGTCTATGAACAACAGCTCCTTACAGCCTTGGGCTCCTTTCCTACAACCAATTTGTTCTGTTGGGATCAAATTATTGGATCGTAGGTGACATTCAATCTTACTTGATAGAATTGATGTTAAACTTATAAACTCCGTTGAGACAAGTAATTGGCCTGAAGTCTTGTGGTTCCAATAGGTCTCCCTGTTTTTTAGAAATTAGAACGGTAGCACTCTGAGAGAACGTGTTAGGAATGTCTATTTGTCCTCTAATTTTTTTTTTTATAGTTCATCGCAAGTATTTAGGTTAGGTTTTTGCAACCAATAATTTTGAATTTTATCACTGCCCGGTGCTTTCCAATTTTTCATTTTCTTTGTTGCGATGACTACTTCTTCTATTGAAATATCAAAATCAGGCATTTGAGGTGCCTCCTGGAATTCTCTGTTCACTGATTTTAGCCAGTCTATTTCGTGATTGTGATCTACATTGTCCTCCCAAAGCTTCTTCCAATAGTCGATTATATTATCGGTTAATGAGCAATTTACACCTACCTTTTTATGTTCATCCAAGTTGCAATAGAACTGCTTCTCACTGTTTGTGAATCATTTGTTCTGCTGTTTACGGAGCATTGACGTTTTATAGCGCCGTATTCTGTTTGCGTAAACTGCAAGTTTTTGCTTTAGTAGATCAGCATGTAAAGCAAGTTTTTCGGTGAGCTCAGATTCTAACACCATTCCTATTTGTAGTACAACTATTTCCTTCTTTTTAGTCTTTTACTTGCTCCAGCCGGATTTCTAATATAGCTTGTAATTACCCCAATACTTGACCTTAACGAAGCTATCTTATTCTCTAATCTTCTCTGCCAACGTGGGAGTTTCATATTGCCATTATTTTTCTTTGGTTTATCTTCTCCTAAACCTAGTTTGATAATAACAACTCTAGCTGCAACATAAGCCAAATGACAAACAGCTTCAGTTTTTCACAGTCATCCGGGATCTAAAGTTGTAAGGAATCCTTGATAGGATGGGTCTAACATCATGAGGTATTCCTTCATAAAACATATGCTGGGATAACAGTGACAGCATCAGTTTTTGTACCTCTTTGTCTTCTTCTTCTGAAGAATCGCCAACGATCTTTCTATGAGTTCTATAGCATCAGTTGGTCGCTCTTCATTCTCAGCAGCTATTATCGCTAGTCGTTCTCATGCGATTGCTTTTATATTATCCATTTCCACTGCGGTGAGGAATTTTCTCGATCGGATTACTCTAACCTGATCACTGAGTCTTTGTGTACTTATAGTCATCTGTGGGTATAATACTTGCTAATACTGTTGAATCCTGCTGAGGTATCCTGTCTTATCTGTTTCTAATTCTGTTGCCAAAAGATATGCCTGGATGACAGCCTTGTTCATTTCTGGCGTCAATTTCATCCTTCGTACACCTCTTGGCCTCTGTTGCCGGTTTCGTGCGGGAGGAGAAATAGTCTCGCCCAAGCCCGAACTCGAACTAGTTGCCGGTTCTTGGAGTCTTGTGGTCCTTTGCCACAGAGTGGCGCCACTTGCTCCGCCATTACCTGAAGGAAGCTGTCGAAGGTTCCCGCCTGGTGCAGCTTCATTCCCAGGCTCGTCCGAGCTATACGTCGATTTCTTAACTCCATTTTTGATGGGTGATTGCATTATAACCTGCCAGGCCTTACTAGGTAAGGTTGCCCTAGGGTATGTACTGAAAATGTCCTAGTGTCTGTGTTTATGTTATTATGTGCTGTAATGTGTGAGTTTGTGAACGGTATGATGTACTCAGGAACCCGTGGGAGCGTAATACCCGAACAACTGCGTTCATCAGTTGCCCTTGCGGGTATTATTATTATTATTATTATATATATATATATATATATATATATATATATATATATATATATATATATATATATATATAACGTTTTCTATAATTTATTTCAATGTTAATTTACAAGTTAATAAATAAAATCTTGCCAGGCCACAGCTGTCCCCTCTCTTCTGGCTTGTCTCTGATAGCAGCTCTGAAATTAATTTGACTTCAATTCTGTGTTTTAACCTAAATTAATTTTGGATTTATTATTTTTGATAGGAGTAGCAGTTAATGATTAATATTCACAGTACAATTGAAAAATGAAAATTAAAGTTTGACTAGCTTTTCTACAAATTGGAATTGATTGGAAATACATTATTGTATTCACACCAAATGACAACTGATAATTTCAACAGTTTAATGATAAGTTTAATTGAATAACATAGAGATAATAAGATAAGAGTGGGGGTTCTTATCAGTTGTTATGAAGATTGATTTTGACATGAGCTAAAACAAATTCGGAAGGTTATTTGCATGTTACATTCCACCGGTGAAAGGCATGGTCCTTATCAATTATTTCTTTATTTATATTACAGAAACGTATTAAGAAATTGTTTATAATCTGCTCTGGTTAATATTTTGGTTCTCAAAATGCCTCTCGGTCGACATAAAGTGCCTTTCAGTGGCAAAGCCAAAAAACAACAGCTTAAAGAGAAAAAACAAAGGCAACAACATACAAATTTGTTAGCAGGCAGTAAGTAGTTCATTTATTGATTATGAATATTTTTCATTCATGTAATATAGTGTGAATTATATTAAAATATCGAAATTGTATTTTTTAATGCTTGTAGACAAAAATTTCAAGACTTTGTTGCTTGGAGAAAATAGTAATGATGGTGAAGATGATAATGTGCAGTCTCTCAATAAGCAACCTACATTGAGAAGAGGAAGGAGTAACCCTAACAGGTATTAGGAGGATAGTATGATTAATTATTTGCACCTACCTGTGTAATAACCAGGGCAGAATAGCTTATAGTTTACTTTTATTTTCAATAACTGAAGTTGCCAGAATGTGTGGATGGAACAGCATATAGTTTATTTATTTTCCATTACTGAAATTAACGTTAACATTAGTTTTTCTATGAAATTCTTCTCCCTAAACAACTTTTTTTCAATTTGGAATGTCTCTTAAATTGATTGACATTAACTAAATATGTAGAAAAAATGATTCAGTATAATTTAATATTTGCCTGTTAATCTCTAAGATTACAACCGAAAAAAGAGATTTAACTTTTAGATGGTTCCTTTTTCTTTTTATTGTTCTTAGTTGTATCTTTTATTGCTCAGAACAGTAGGTACTTGTTCACATGAATTCCATATGGATTACGTGTGGTTCATAATCACTTCGGTCACACTTGTTCATAAAGTGCCTAAAGCATTCAGATTCATCCGAAAGAGAACGAAGGCGACCAATCTCTTTAGTTAGTTACTATTAACTTTCCCGCCATTTGAGTACTTTTATATCCTTAACCATGTTCAGTTAAACAGCAGGAGCCGACTTATATTCCAAATTTATGCTACATCATCTAATCATAATCAAACTTGTATATATATCATACAGCCGTGGAAAAGAAATAATAATAGATAAAAACCTTTAATTATTATATCTCTGAATGCTATTTCACGATATTTATTTTTCTTATTGATGATTTTCATTATTCAATATCTCGGAATTATGAGAAATTCTTCATCAGTTGTATCGCCAATATGTTGATTCCTTCCTCGAAAATAAACTCGATATTGTGATATCTCTTATATTTTAAAGTAGTCAACCTAAAACTGACCAACTAAAATTAACTACATTTAACATTGTTTGATTTTAAAATAATGTCAAGTATGAATTGGCAAGCTAACCTTTTTTCTATATACAATGTTTCTTTCTTTGTTACACTGGATCAATTTTTCTTCTAACACTTTCCAAAGTTCTGCCAAACACATCTTCCAAAATGGTAACACTTTCATCTACTCAACTCAAGCTCCTTAAGAGATCTCTCTTGTGATTATAGAAACTATAGAGAAGCCATGTTCTTTTCCTTGCACTAGTAGAACTAGATTAGCTTATCTTTTAATTGTTCAGCATTGATTTATTAAACCCTTTTTACTCACTTCCAATAAAGGTTAACGTTACAATAGATTTCAAGCTAAAAAATAACGAAAACTTCATCATGGTGATATTAACCACAAAAAATAAGTCCATAAAATATTAATAATATAAAAGTTTTCATTCTGTATTATCAGAAGTATATTAGGTCTACAATCTATTGTTGAACTTCTCTATAAATTTCTAGTATACCATAGACTATATTAACATTTTTTAAATTTATTTTTGAAAACCTGAAAGAAGTGAATGTAAATACATTCTTTGTATTTACATACATACAACATGGAACATACATACATACAATTCTATGTAAATACATACATAGAAGGCTATCATTTGCATTCAGTATTTTCTTTAAAGTGATAAATTTTAAGTATTTGAAACGCTGGGCATTGGTCTTAACCTATAATTTCTATTTTATAATTTTAACATGCCATTTCACATTTCTGTATTAAATAAATCAACAGCCATGCATCAAAAAGCTACAATAAAATGTTATTTATATTATATGACTTGCTCTCGCTCATGTTCAGATATACATACCAAAGACGTTATTTAATACTTCACTTCTTTGTCTTAATACAATAAAAATCTAGTTGATAAAATAGAAAATATTTGGTTTATTTAGTCTTATGAATAATTTTAGTTTTTGGGCTTTTGTACTTTTGAAATGTTTCTTTAAAATATAATTATTTAAACATGTTTTATAATATTTATTTAAATATTTCCATTTTTACTTTTAGATATAATTTACAATTCCATCGTGAAAGTAAAGAAGAGCAACAGCGAAGCAAAGAAGAAGCAAGAAATACATTGCAACCTGTTTCAGAAGAAAGCCTTGAGATTGACATAGATTCATTTTTTCCTAAAGAACTTAATTTTCCTGTCCGTCCTCCATGGGATTTTAGTATGTCAAAAGAAGAACTTGATGCAAGAGAAAACAAATATTTTACGGTAAATTAGTTTATTTATTTACAATTTTGATTGATTTATTTCAAGTTTTATTTAAATAATGATTTAGAATTATTTATAATAAACTTAATTCTGATTATTTCAGGACTATATAAAAAGTATTGAAAAAAAGTTTGACTGGTCAGAACTGAGTTATTTTGAATTGAATCTTGAAACATGGCGCCAACTGTGGAGAGTCCTAGAAATGGCAGATATTGTTCTTTTTATTACTGATATTAGATTTCCTGTATGTATTACTTTTACTTTTAAATATTTGATATATGATTGAGCAATTTTTAAAAATAATGTTTATTATGTGCAGGCATTAATGTTCCCACCTTCAATATATACTTATGTTGTGAAAATTCTTCATAAACATCTAATAGTTGTTTTAAATAAAATTGACCTAGCCCCTGCTCCATTAGTGGTTGCTTGGAAGCATTACTTGAAAAAAAAATATCCTGGGCTCCATATTATTATGTTCACTTCATTTCCATACTACAATCTGAGAGATACATCTGAAAAAAAGGGTAATTTTATTTTGATTTAATCTTATATTATATAATTAATCAGTGAAAAAACTATAATGTTGAACTAAGGATATATAAAATTTTATTGTTTCTATGGCATAAAATTAATTTTACTCTTTTATTACCCCGCGTTCAAGTTAATTGATATACTTTTAATTTTAATTTTTGAGTTCTGTATAGTTGATTTTTTTTATCACTTTGTTGATGATTTCTTTTTTTTTTGTTTTGAACAAATTATGTTGTGCAAAAGCTTGTTTTTATGTTTGTAATTTATACAATAGAAAACTAATTCCAAGAGAACATGATTGGGTGGTGCAATAAAGGTACTATTTGGCTGGCGCGGTCGACGACAGCGACCGCTATTCCCCCATGCCAACCGCTGTTGGCATACCTATTTCGCTGAAACTGCTCACTGGGGTTGTTATAACCTGCCTATAACCTTCGAACATTTCGCTGTATCTTCGAAGATAAAAAGATGGACATAATATAATAATAAAAATGAATATCCTATAATAATGAACATCTCTGACTACCACTTTTTTATTTGAGTTGGAAAAAGAAGAGAAAATGTTGTTCATAAAGAGAAGGAATATCAGTATTTCGATGTGATGCTCATCATCAAAGTTCCTCTGATATTACATATTATTAGTTTGAAAAATAATAGTAATTAATACATAATTGGTTAGTAATAAATATCATATATTTGTAATTAAATCTCAGCAAGCGATGTTTTATAGTTTTATCAATAGTAATCAGTAAATCACCACTTTAATTAAAAAATACAAATCGTTTTTTCAATGGGTGGATTTTAGTATTTACCTGACGATAAAATTTGTTGGATTCTTTAATTTATTTAATATCGTTTGGATTTAGGTATATTTGTATTTCGCTGTAAAATATTGCTGGTGGAATAAATAAATAAATAATCTTGTTACTTCAACCTCAAAAAAATAATTTACTATTGGATTGTTTCAGTTTTAAACAATATTTGTTATAATTTTGCCAGACTTGAAAGAAACATAGGAAATAAAACGTATCGACGGGACTGTTATCATCAAAACAATGCTCTGATATGATAACATAACCTACAACCGCCGAACCGCCAACAGCTCCACTGCTTCAAGAGGAGTCAGATACGGCAGCTTAGATATGACGTCATACCTAAACTGCCGAGCAGCGCCAGCGAAATAGGTTCCTTTCTATTCCACTAAAGCAGTGGTCAACCGCGAGCAGTCGCGGTCGTGGACCGCGCCAGCGAAATAGTACCTTAAGGAAAGGAAAATGCACAACTTAAAAATCCTGTTTTTAGCCCATTAAAATAAGTTTTATTATTATTGTAATTTTTATTTTCTGACCAGAGCTCCTCCTCCCTCTCATCAACTTTTGGAATGACTAATATTTTTAAATAATTGGAATGATAGACAAATTTTGAGCAGGAAACAGCCAATAGTAACTGATCCTTAAATTTAATGGAAATTTTTTGAGCAAAATTTTTTGTATTTAGACTATTAGAAGGCCATTCAATAGAATTAAAAAAAATAAAATGTTGTTTTAATTAATAACTTACGTTATTACTAACTACTAATTTATTCTTTATTACTTTAACATTGTTTCTCAACAATAACTTGGAACCATCTCATTTTTGTAGGATTACAAGTTAAGAGGCGAAAAGGGAAAATGAGAATGGCAGCAGAAGGTGCTCAAACTCTGTTTGATGCCTGTAAGGATATCGTCAAAGAACAAGGTATGATCTGTAAAATAAATATTAATATATTTAATACATTTGATTTTTTATTAATACAATTGATGGATTATGAGGTTTATTAATTACATTCTACATATTTTCATAATTTTGGTGTAAAAACAACATAAATAGCTGGGGCTTACTTATTACTTTAAAAAAAAATTAAAATAAAATAAAATGTAATATATATATATATATATATATATATATATATATATATATATATATATATATATATAATAATAAATAATAATAAGGCTTAGCGAACCCGAAGGTTCGATGCCGACACCACCAATCGCTTGTTACACACCTCCCTCCACCGTTCGCCGTCCAAACCCAGTCCCTTCAGATCGGCTTTAATGCAATCTTCCCACCTTCGCTTCGGTCTACCCCTCAGACGCTTACCATTCGGCACAGCAAATATTAACCTTTTAGGAATTCTCTCGTTACTAAGCCCAACAACTTTACCAGCCCATTTGATTCGCCGCGATGAAATTACCTCAATTATATTACCCGGATACATCTCACGCAATTCGGCGTTGTGTAACTGTCTGAACTCTCCGGTTAACTCATCCTTTTTCGGTCCGAATATTCTACGCAATACTTTATTTTCAAAAACCTTAAGACGCTGCTCATCCCTTAATGTAAGCGGCCAAGTTTCGCATCCATAAAGAACTGTAGGTAAGATAATTGTTTTATAAATTCTAATTTTTAAGTTTCGGGACAAGAGGCGCGAAGTAAGTAGTTTTGTCACAGAAAAATAACAAGCATTCCCCGCCTTCAGTCTAACCTTAATCTCTTCTTCAATTTCGTTTTTTCTAGTTATCGTTGAACCTAGATACCTAAATTTATCTACCTGTTCAAACATATTACCATCTATATCGATATCACCAGTAGTATTGCCATTTTTGCAGCTAACCATATATTTTGTTTTATCCACGTTTATTTCGAGTCCTAGTCCTTTCCCGGCTTTCATTAACGTTGTCGTATTTAGTTTTATAGTTTCAACGTCTTCGCTTAACAGTACCAGATCATCAGCATAGCCCAGCACGGATGTTGTCCCGCCCAGATCCAACCCTTTCTCGGTTCGCATTACCTCCCTAATGGCATGTTCTAATGCCAAATTGAACAGGACAGGCGAAAGAGAATCCCCCTGTTTTAAGCCCGAACGAACCTCAAATTTTTTGGACAAATTATTACCGATTCTAACTTTATTGAGTGTCTCCGTCAAGCACATCCTGACTAGATTTACTAGTTTTTTTGGAATCCCCTGCTCGATTAGAATATTATACAGTTTCTGGCGGTCAATAGAATCGACTGGTTAAGATTAAAGTGAATATTTTATAACATACCGGAAGGAGTGAAATTCCTCGATAGTTATTACAATCCGTCCTCGGACCCTTTTTGTGAATCGGAATAAGAATAGATTCTTTCCATTCTTCAGGTAATTTCTCGTTCACCCAAATCTTTTTAACCAACCGATGTATTTTAGAAACTCCAGCTATAGCCTTTTTAAAATCTATATACAGCTGATGAACAATACCGTTATACTCCAATTTTTTCTCTAATATTTGCCGTAAAGAAAATATTTGATCAATAGTCGAACGATTCCGTCTAAATCCACATTGGTAGTCTCCGATAATTTCCTCGGCGTATTCCGTGATTCGACTGGTTAAGATTAAAGTGAATATTTTATAACATACCGGAAGGAGTGAAATTCCTCGATAGTTATTACAATCCGTCCTCGGACCCTTTTTGTGAATCGGAATAAGAATAGATTCTTTCCATTCTTCAGGTAATTTCTCGTTCACCCAAATCTTTTTAACCAACCGATGTATTTTAGAAACTCCAGCTTCTCCGCATGCCTTAATTAGTTCAGTAGGAATATTATCGATTCCCGCTGCTTTATATGATTTTAATTTTCCGATAGCTACTTCAACTTCCTCTTTACTTGGTCCTACTATTAACGGTTCAGCACTCTGGTACTCAGAAGGAGGACACAGATCATAATTTCCCTTATTTAAAATATTGTCAAAGTGGTCCTTAAACTTATTCAATATGTCAACCGGATCGGTCAGAATATTGTTATTATCATCCCTAATTCCAGACGTTACGGGCCCTACATATTTTCGTGATCTGTTTATACCTTTGTACATGTCTCTTACGTTATTTTCGATTCTGTTAGTTTCTATTTCAATTATTTTATTTTTAAGATACTCCCTTTTTTTATTTTTGAGCAATTTTGTCGTTTCGTTCTTTGAGATTCGGAAGTATTCCAGATTGTCTTCGCTAGGATTATTTAGAGCTTTTAATTTAGCGGCTTTTCTTTTTTCACACATGTTTAAGCAATCTTCATCAAACCACGATTTGTTATTCTTATTTTCCTTTTTTCCTAGACACGAGTTACCGACCGCTTTAATATTATCTCTGATCTCTATCCATAACTTGTCAATATCCTCGTGGTCCTCGTCAGGAAGCTCTAAAGCTTCAAACCTATTCTTAACTTCTAGCTCGAATTGGTTTCTAATTGATGGATTTTTTAATTTTTCCAAATTAAAATTCTCAAAATCGAAACGGTTTTCTTTTCTCTTTTTTATATTAAGTTTTTGTCGAAGTTTCGCGATTACTAATTCATGATCCGACCCACATTCTGCTCCGCGATAAGACCGTACATTAATTATACTGCTTTGCCAGCTGTGTTGTATCAAGACATGATCGATTTGATTTCGTGTTTGCGAATCCGGTGATGTCCAAGTATATTTATGAATATCCTTATGTTTAAACGTAGTACTTTTAATTATCAGGTTTTTCGAGATGGCAAAGTTTATCAGACGGATCCCATTATCATTACTATATTCGTGCAAACTTTCTTTACCAATCGTCGGAATATAAACTTCTTCCCTTCCTACCTTTGCGTTCGCGTCACCTACAATTATTTTCATGTAGTTTCGTGGTAGTTTATCATAAACCCATTCGAGTTTATCGTAAAATTCACTTTTGACTTCATCGTCACTGTCTTCGGTCGGACAATGTATGTTTATTAATGCGATTTTAAACCAACGTCCCTGAAATGTAGCTACCGAAATTCTATCACTAAAGAATTGTACGTCCCTCAAAGCGGATAGTAATCTACGCCTAATTAGAAACCTGGATTCAACAATGATTCTCGCTTCCTCCGTACCAAATAGTGTACTTCCCTTCCCTCATCGAGCCCTCCCCTGGCCAGCGAACCTCTTGCAGAGCCACGACATCCAAATTGTACCCATTTACCTCATTCGCGACCGATTTTAGCCCCCCTGCTGTGTTTAAACTCCTTACGTTCCACGTACCAATATTTAAATCCCTATATTTCAACTTGCGCCATGAATCCCCTAAAGCAGTCCCCACCCGGAGACCCGAACGGGGGTCTAGTTTACCTCCGGATAATGAGCGTTTTACCTTAGGGAGATCCATGACTTTTTGTGGTGTTTGGTGAACTAAAGATATGTGAGTAGGGCGTTCAATCCTACGTCACACCCTCCAGCAAGTCTGGTGGGCCCCTACCTCCAGCAAGTCTGGAGGTCCCCTCCCTCCAGCAAGTCTGGAGGGCCCCTCTCATTGTTGGTCAGCGAGTCCATCGGACTTAGCCGGGAGGAACTTCCAAGAAATTTCCACCGACCATCCCCACATCCGCCACCCATGGGATGCTCCCCATACGCGGTAATGAGCCCGCGCGAGGATATATATATATATATATATATATATATATATATATATATATATATATATTGTAATGTCAACATTACATGGCATTTAAATAGTGGCGCGAAAGTGGTAACAGCACGAACTACGGGGAGGAAGTGTGTGACGATGGTGGGGGAAGCAAGCCTCATGTAACTCAGAATGTGATGGGCGGGAAGGTTATGAGCCGACAAGAGAGAAGGTGACAAGCTGTCAAGAGAGTAGGTGCTAGCCAGCAAGCTGAGAAAATAGAAAAAGGAGTCCTAGCCGGAACATTCAGGGATAGAGCCACAAAGTTTAGACTGGGACAATCAAGTTTTTTGAAAACAATAATAAATTTTATATGTATAATTAGTGTAATTAGTAATTAGTAAATTATAGTTATTTAATGTTGAATGAGTGTTCAGTTGTCAGAACCCAACCTGAGAATTTATGTTATGTGTTAAAATAAATAGTATATTGAAAAAGGAAACTCGTTGTTTGATTTTGGAGGGAAAGAGGAATGTTACAATATATATATATATATATATATATATATATATATATATATATATATATATATATATATTGTAATGTCAACATTACATGGCATTTGGATAGTGGCGCAAAGGTGGTGATGGCGCGAACTACGGGAAGAAAGTGGGGGAAACAAGCTTCATGTAAGTCAGAAGGAGACAAGCGGCCAAGGGGGAAGGTGCCAGCCAGCAAGTGGAGAAATTAGGAAAAGGAGTCTTAGCCGATTCGAGTGTTGACAGAGGCCACTAGTGAAGATTATTTTATGTTGGAAGAAAGAATATAGCAGAAATTAATTAAGTGGTACAGAAACATTAAGTGGACAATCGTAAGTAAGAAGAGATTATTTCGCTGGCAGGCGTCAACATTTGGGTGAGTGCTAACAATGCCATTTATGTTGACAGAGGGATAGAACCAAAAGTTTAGACCGGGACAAATTATTTAATAAAATATTTTAAATTATAAATAAGTGTAGTAGTAATTAATGAATTAGTGTACATTGTCTTTATAAATAGGAATGAGTGTTCAGGTGTCAGAACCCAACCTAAAGATGTATATTATGTGTTAAAATAAATAATATATTCAAAAAGTAAACTCATTTGTTTGTTTTTGTTGCTTTTGAAAACGTTACAACATGGCGCCCAACGAGCGTGGCTTTTGAGTACGTCACAATATGGCGTCCAACTAGCGTGGTTTTTAAAAACGTACGTAGTCACGACAACTGAACACGCAATCCTTTTTAATTTTTTTTCTTTTATTAATCATTT